ATTTATTTGTTATTTAGTTTTTTAGCTTTCTGGAAGGTTTTTATATTCTTTATATTAATATTAACTTGTTATTCAGCAATATATTATAAGGAATCTAAACAATATTGATTTGTATATTTCTTGTATATAATAATTATCTGATTTGCAAAAGTCTTGAATTGTTCTAATATCCTCTCCATCTGATTGATTATCTTGTTTTCTTTAAAGAATTCCTGTTTTTGTACTATTATTATATTTGAAGGGCAAAGTTTATTAGATTTAATACCCAATTATAAATTAAATCTATAATTTGTAAAAAAGAGTAAACAATCAGTGGTTTCTGATATAATATTATTAAAAACAAATTCGGCAAAGAATAGTTATTTTATCCAATTATCTTAATGGAAATTTACAAAAACATATAAATACTATTCTAGAATTGAATTTATATATTCTATTTATTCATTTGTTTGTAAATAAAAGGCAAAAAAGTATCTAAAAATTATTCCTAAATATTCCGAGAATTAAATCCAAAAACCTGATATAAATTATATTCCCCAATCTAAGATTATATTATCTAAAAGATTATATAAAATATAGATATAAATAATAAAAGTATTGATTAATATATTTATATTTAAGAATCTGATTCTAATAAAATAATATATTTTGGTCAATTTGCAAACCATTATTAGAATATATTTGAATATTGAATCATAAAATTTGCAATCTGAAAGTGATATGATATAGTTAATAGATATATCAAACCAAATATAGAATAGTATTGATAATAATTTCAAAAATCTTAAAAACACAGATTTGGATGATTTAGTTCGAATATAAAGTGTTGGTATCACCGTGGTGGTGATGAAGTGTCAATAGTACTATCGTGTTTCACGTGTTTGTATTGCCTTAAGGAACTAAACTATAGAGATGCTAATGCTAAAAGATATACGCTTTGTAGTAGTCAAAATGTTGCTTATTGCCTTAACCCTTAGCCTTACTGCTCACTACAACTAAGTAAATAATATCCAGATACTAGCAACTATCTAAAAATCAAATGAATTCGTTCTTAATAATACTCTCTATATCCTATTAATCCCTTTCTCTCTAATTTCTTTCAACCCATTCTATAATCTTGATCTTAATAGTATTGTTATCAATTAGCTTCTTGAATGCTTTTCCTGCCTTAGATTTCGTTATCGCATCAATAGAGTTAGATTCTCCATCAATCCATTTGATCTTTATGATCTCACATTGTTTATATAATTGTCTAAATACTATTAGATCAATTATTAGCCTCTTCTCCTGGGTTGTACCGAATTTGATAAAATAATTGTAAAGTGATTTAGAATCGGTATAGATAATAAAAGGGATTTGTTTCTCTGTGAAAATGTTATCTATTGTGTTTCTAATCGCTATACTAGAATTGAATCCGAGTGTTATTTTATAGAGTTCTGAAACCAAGATATTTCATATAATTCTTTTATATTTAACAGATAACCAGTGAATAATATTAGCTTTATTATACTTGTCTATTAGTATAATTAAGTATCTGATTTGTAATAACAAATTATAGTTGTTTATAAATAAAATGTTAATAAATATAACCAGCTTTAAGAAGTCAATATCAAATAATACAAATTTGAATCCTTTTATACAATTGTTGATTTGCTATTGAATATAGTTATTAAGTAATTTCGTATTTTCATCCTTTGAATCAGTAATCTGAACAATAAACAAAAAATCGAAAAATACATCTAATTGATACATTATAACAATATAAGCTTTACAAATTTGTTAAATAATATATTAATCCTTAACTATTATATTCTTTCGTATCTTTTTTCTAATTCCTGATATATCCGATAGTTTAAATATCACAAAGTATATATTCTTGTATTGTTTTTCCTAATTGAGATAAATACAACTATTCTTTATTATAATAATATTACTAATAAATTTAAGAGGTATATCCATTATTAGGATCTCACATTCCTTAACAAGAAATTTGGCCTTTTCGAGTTATTCCTGTTCTTATTCGCAATAATAAATGTATCATCTGTTTATAGTTCTACTATACCAAAAGCCTTGTCTCCTTCCTTGATATATATTAAATATAAATTATATATAGATTGAATTATCTGAAGAACTTTAGTATAATGCTTATGATATATATTAAACTAATAGTTTCCTGCCTTAGGAATATC